GGCCCACTCTATGCCTCATTTTAACTTGATTACCACTATACAGACCCTATTTCCAAATAAGGTCACATTCTGAGTTACTGGGGATTAGGATGTCAACGCATCTTTTTTTGGGAAATATGATTCAACGTGTAAGAACTACCAACCAACTGGATTTAACTGAGCTGTATACAACACTGCACTCAACAAGAGCAGAATACACATTCTCTTCAAGCGGACAGGAGCATCCACCAAGAGAGACCACAGCCTGCACCACAGGACAAACCTCAACAGACGTCAGCACTTCCAAACTCCTTTTCCATAGGACCGCCAGAAGCCAGATACCGAAACCAGAGACTACAAAAAGGACAATTATAGACCAATATCCCTGGCAAATATAGGTGCAAAATCCTCAAGAGATAATTAAATCAAATCCAGAAATAATATAAAATGAATCGTATGCCACGACCCAGTGGGATTTAATCCAGGAATGCAAGACTGGTTCTATATTTAGAGAAAAATCAATGTAAGCCACCATAGGAACAATACAGAAGAACCACTTGGACGTATCACTTGATGCAGGAAAAGCATCCAAGTCATGATAAAGCCCTCAGCACACTAGACGTAGAAGGGAGCTTGCTCAGCCTGGTAAAGGCATCGGCACAATCTGGAGGTAGCATCATACTTGGTGAGAGGGAACCTTCCCAAGACAAGGAACAAAGCCAAGAGCTCCTCCTTCCACTCCTGTTCCACTCGCAGCGGGAAACTCAGCAGGTGGGATAAAGTGAGCAAGAGGAATGAAGGGCATACAGACGGGAGAGGAATGGAATTGTCACTCACAGATGACATGATTGTTTATGTGGAAAATCCCCAAAAAGCTACAAAAACAAACAATTCAACAACCTCCTAGAACCAGTGAGTTTTGTCAAGGTTACAAAATATAAAGAGAACACACAAAAAACAACTGTTTCTAAACACTAGGAATATACAATTGGGAACCAAACTATTTATTTATTTGTTTGTTTGTTAGAGAGAGATAGAGAACAAGCAGGGGGAGCAGCAGAGGGAGAGGGAGAAGCAAGCTCCCCACTGAGCAGGGAGCCCCATGCGGGGACTCGATCCCAGGACCCTGGGATCATGACCTGAGCCAAAGGCAGATGCTTCACCAACTGAGCCACCCAGGCGCCCCTGGAAACCAAAATTTAAAAAATACCTTTTACGGGACACCTGGGTGGCTCGGTTGAGCATCCAACTCCGGATTTGGGCTCAGGTCATGACCTCAGGATTGTGGGATTGAGCCCTACATTGGGCTCCATGCTCAGCGGGGATTCTGCTTGAGATTCTCCCTCTGCTCCTTACTCCCTTGCTTTCTCTAAATAAATACATAAAATCTTTAAAGAAATAATACCTTTTACAATAGTTCAAGAACAAAAGAAATGCTTAGGCACTGACCTAAGAAAGCATGTGTTTATGCTGAATACTACAGAATGATGACTAAAAAAAAAAAAAGCAAAGACACAAATAGAGACAAATTATGTTCCTGGACTGGAAGACAACATAGATGTCAATTCTCTCCAACCTGACCTGTAGATTTAATGCAACTCTAGTCAAATCCCAGCAGGGCTTTTTGTAGCTATAGACCAGGGGATTCTAAACCTTATCCGTACTGGCAAAGGAACAAGAAGAGCTCAAGTAATTCTGAAAAACAAGAATAAAATTGGAGGAATCACCCCACTTGAGCTAATGCGCATTAGGACGTAGGCTATCAAGACAGACTGGCGTTGGTGCAGACACAACAGATCACACGTACAAGGCAAGTTAACTGGACAAAAGCAAAAGCCCCTGGGCAGAGGAGAGGCAAACGATGGACGTTCGTTTCCATAAATGGTGCTGGAACAACTGGCCATCCAGATGCAGGAAAATTCACCTAAACTTCATGCCTTGTATAAAAATCAACTCAAAATTTTTGGATCAAAGGTGTAAATGTAACATGTCACAATATATTTCTAGAAGAAAGCACAGAAAAACCTTCATTATCTGGTGGAAGGCAAAGAATTCTCCGACATGACATTGAATGCACAATCCGCGTCACAAAAAGTCGGTAAGCAGTACTTTACCAGAACTTAAAATTTTATTCTAAAAAGCAGCTAAGCAGATGAAAAAATAAGCTACAAACTGGAAGAAAACATTTACAAGTCACATACCAGACAAAGAACTTGTCCCTAGAACATGCAAACTCTCGAAACTCAACAGTAAGCAAACAACAAACCCAACTGAAAAATGGGCAAAAACAACAAGCAGACACGTCTCCAGAGAAGATGCTCATCTTAGACGTTAGGGGGACGCAAACTAAAACAGAATACCAGTGCACACCTTTGTAACAAGGGCTAAGACGGGGTGTGGAGCACGGGAACCCTACCTGCACCGCTGGGAACACAGAGGGTGCAGCTGGCGGTCTGTCAGCTTGGGCCGCGGAACGAGACGCCACAAGACTGGGTGGCTTATCAGCAACACACATCTATTTCTCACAGTTGTGCAGGCCCAAGGCCGAGACCAGGGTACCCGCATGGGGCCCTCTGGGCTGCAGACTGCTCGCTGTGTCCCCACACAGCGGGAGGGGCAAGGCAGCTCTCTGGGGACCCTCTCCTGAGGCCCCACCCTGTGACCTATTATTCCCCTCCCAAAGGCTCCGTGACCTAACACCTCCATCTCGGGGTTAGGTTTCAACCCATGACTTGGGCAGGGGGTGGGGGTGCGGCACACATATTCAGACCATAGCAGCTACTCTGGAAAATGGTTGGCGGTTTCTTATGAACTTAAACTACACTTACTGTGTGACCCAGCAACGCCACTCCTCAGGGAGAACGGAAATGTGCTCCCTAGCAGCGTGTATGCAAACATTCAGAGTAGCTCTACGCATGACTGCAAAAATCTGGAAATCACCCAAATGCCCTTCAACAGGTGTATACTCAGACAAACTGGCCCATCTGAGCAGCTGAATGCTTCTCAGTCCAAAACGAAAGGACGAATCTCTGGTTTGCAGAACATCTTCAATCTCCAAGGCATTCTGCTGAGTGGAAGAACCAGTCTCAGAAGGTTGCACACTGTACGATTCCATCACAACATCCCTGAACAAACAGTAATGACGGAGAACGGGGCTCTGGCTGTGGGCTCACAGGCTGGGGGAGGGGGGGCACAACGGGGCAGCGTCTGCAGAGATGAAGGAGCTGTTCTGTGTTCAGACCAGGGTGGTGCTCACATCAATCTGTACATGTGGTGAGATGTACAGAGCTGCACCCGAAACACATGATAAATCAACTTTCCTACAACAAATTAAAAGCGCTATTAGAGAGAAAGTGCAGCGGACTCACTCGCCATGGGCCCGGGCGAGACTGCAGCTGTGGCCTCCAAACGCAGGGAGAGAATAACATCGACCCAGAATTCTAAACCCAGTCAACATCTAAACCAAGGGTAGAATTGGGGCGCCTGGGGGGGTGCTCAGTCAGCTGGGCATCCAACTCTGGATTTCGGCTCAGGTCGTGATCTCAGGGTTGTGAGATGGAGCCCCGCGCCGGGCTCCAGCTGGGTATGGAGTCTGCTCAAGATTCTCTCCCTCTGCCCCTCACCACCGCACACTCTCAAACACAAAACAAAAACACACCTGCGGACTTGTGAAGCAGAGGCCCTGCAGGACAGCGCGGCAGCCGACATCTCAAGTCGGGGACACAGGGACAGGCACAAAGCAGCAGACCTGGTGCCGTGGCGCTGTTGATGGTTTTTAATAAGTACTTTTTTAAAAGATTTTATTATTTATTTGAGAGAGAGAGACAAAATAGCGACAGAGATAGCGAGAGAGCGCACGAGCGGGGAGGAAGGGGAGAAGCGGGCTCCCTGCGCGACACTCGATCCCAGGACTCTGGGATCGTGACCTGAGCAGACGCTTCACCGACTGAGCCCCCCAGGTGCCCCTTAGTAAGTACTTTTTGTGTTGAAAACTAATATGGACTCGAAATTCTGGGGAACATGCAGAGGGAGCAGGAGGTCAAATGAAGGCCTAAGTGGAAATCACACTGTGCAGAACGTCGGATGGCACGGCTGTCACTGAAAATGAACCTGGCAGCTCCTCAAACATGCCAACACGCGGCCTATCGCCTCCCCTGGCGGGCACCGTCCCAAGGGTGAGGGAACCAGGCCACACACAAACCGCACACGCCTCTCCCAGCAGCACGGCCCGTGACGATGTGGGGACAGCCTGTAAGTCCGTTCGTGGACAAATCCATAAATGTGGCCTGTCTGTAACTGGAGTCTCGTCCAGCCCTCAAAGAAAAGGAGTCCTGAAACCTCCCGCTCAAGCCGGGCGTGAAGGCCATGCTGCACGATGGCACGCGGGTGTGCGTCCAGAACAGGGAGCCATGGGGATGGAGCGCGGGCCGTGCTTGCCAGTGGCGGGGCCTGCTGCCTTCTGGGAGCCGACAAGGGACTGGAACAGACCTCTCACAGGGTCTGCCTGTAGACCCCGTGCTGAGGGGACCCCAGCCTCCCGGTGGGAGAGGCTCCCCATAGCAGGCAGCACTCGGCAAGGGCGGGGGGCTGGTGCTCTCGGCTCTGCTGTAGACTTCCACCTGCTTCTTCTGGAGCCTGACCGTCCCCCTCTACACTGCAGGACTTCTCCAGCAAGTTCTCTGGACCCAGACCCCTGGCCCGCTGCGGGCCGGCGGGGATGAAGCTGCCCTGGAGAGCAAGGGAGGACTGGCAGGCAGCCTCGCCGGGGCCCTCCTCAGCTCGCCGGCCACCCCCCAACCCACCTTCCCCCTTCTAAAATGGGTTTACATCTTTCTGCCCTTGCCTTCCCCGCCCCCCCCCCTCTGTCCCCATGGGTAAAAACCTTTCTAATCCTCTCATTTTACTGCTCTGTTTTCAGGAAAAGGAAGTAAATTCACTAATGTACTTGGTTTACCCCGACTGACCTAATGCACGCACACACACACACGCATCATATACAAATTCCAAAAGTAAAAACCCAATGTGTTGAAAATAAAGCTTTAAAACCATCAGAAAAAAACACAGAAGTATTTTCTTGGGGAGACTTAGGACTTCCTGAATTAGTCAACGGCACAATCCACAGGAAAATACTACCCAACTCATCATATTTATGTTTTAGGTTCCCATACGCTACCACAGTTCAAAGACACAACCAAGGACCAGTCTTGCCAACAGTAAGAAAACAAGACCGACAACCCAGGAGACAGGTGGACAAGGGCGGCAGGCGAGTCTCTGGACTCCGCAGCCCACCAGGCCCCTGTGCTCCCAGGTCAGGAGCCTGACGCGGGCAGTCTGTGCCCTGCAGCTCGGAGGCAGGGCTGACAAGCGGGTGCGGTCAATTTGGCACCAGCTCAGCGCAAGGTTTCCCGCTGGAGAAGACTCTGTGGTCTCGTTTGTGGAAACGCAGGAAAGAAGCAACTCATGAGGATGGCGCTCTGGAGAGCTGGCAGGGAAGGGCCCGGAAGGGCTTCACTTTTCTGCTGCGTTTCTCTTAGCACGACAGCACATGTCCTAGGCTCGTTTCTTTCTTCTCAGTGCTTTTCTGTCACATCAACTCTCGACACAGAGAAGTGAGTCACGGTGTCAGGGGAAGTCAAACGTGTCGCGGGTTCTCTACAAAGACGCCTGGGCAGCCCCCCGCCTGGCCCTCTGGAACCAGGCAGTTCTGAGAACAAACGAGGGGCCACCAGCAGCGTGGTGCAGACGGCCACCGGCCAGGACCCCCGAGTCTGCCCCAGTCCCTCCCGCACCGCCCAGGGCTGAGGCCCCGACCCAGGTCTCACGGAGGTTCAGGCCTGTGGTCAGGGTGCCAGAACTACCGGCCACCAGTGGGAGGAAATGCCTGGCGCCTGGACAAGTCCTGGTTCAGGGTAGGCAAACGCAGAAGGATCTACTGGCCACCCTCCCAGCACCAGAGGTCCCTGCGGGGAACGGCAGGGACACACGTGGACCTGCTCTCGAGGCAGCCCCTGGGGAGGCCTGAGGGAGGAAGAGCTAGCTGGCAAAGAACAGCCCAGAAAAAAGAATAGCAGGAGCGAGCCTGCAGCGTCAGGGAACCCCCGTAACTGCTCGGGGACCTGGTGACTTGTGGGGAGGGGGCCATGGGAGGGCAGAGAGCCAGGAGGCCCCATGAGGGTCACCGCCACCAAGGCCAGAGGCAAATGGACACCACTCTCCCCGAGATTTAACAGTTTAATAACGACTTCTCCACAGCCCGACGGGGCAGCTAACCCACCCCATCTCGCAGCAGGGCCCACTGTGCACCCCACACTCACCACAGGGGCAGCCGACAGGATGTCCGGAGGACACAGAGCGCCCTCCCTGCCCGTGGCCTGGCTGGGCCTGCACAGCAGGGCCTCTCCTCAGAGTAGTGGCCAGGCCTGAGAACGTCCCTCCTGTCCAGGCCAGAGGACGGGCCAAGGTACCAGCTCACCCTGCCCCTCTGCTCACCTTGCCCCGAGCGCCTACACAGACGGCCCACCGGCAGGTACCAACAGGCCTGCAGCCCACCCCACGTGGCCTGGGCTGAGCGGCCTCTCCCAGGAGGCGGCCCCTTCCCAGCGGGACATGAACGCAGCAGGTGCCCACCCTCCGCGAGGCCCAGGCCCAGGGTGGTGGCTCCTCACCAAGCCATCAGGCCCAGCTATTCCTGACCCCCGACCCCCGACCCTGGTGGGAGGCGGCTAGAGCCCCGTCAGGTCCACAATGGCCTTGATGAAGAGGGCATCATCGCGCACGTAGGAATTCTTGGCCTCCATCTTGGAGACGGGGCAGAAGAGAGGGCAGCCGCTGGCGATGTTCATGTCACTGACTGGCCTCTGGAAAGAGGATGAGGTCACGTCGGGTCTAAAGGCATCAATCACGTGTTCCCGGTTGTTCTGGTCAAGCAGCATTAAGGTCACCTGGAGGGAGAGCGGCCGGGGAGGGACAGCACTCTGAGTCACGGCCCCGCCCAGCTCCAGCTCCCTGTCCAGGTGATCGGTGCCCATTCCGGCACTTTCCGTCCATCAGTCCCTGGGGTCTGAGGCTGCAGTTAACACTACGGAGCTGCACCGCTTGGTGCCTCGCTTGCTCACGTTCACGTGACGGAGGTTCTTGTGCCAAAGAGCTCGCAGGGCCCCCACTGCCCTCCCGAAGGAACAGCACCCTGTGCCGCCACGTCCACCAGAAGCCCACAGAGCCGGCCCAGCGTGGTGGAGGGCAAGGACGATGGCGCTGGCACCTTCAAGCCCTCCACCAAGGGCAGGTTCCGGTTCTGTGTCCCGTAACGCCTGCACGCGCGGGCTCCCCAGCCGCACCCCTTCCTTGGGAACTGACCCCGAGGCGGCATCTTTAACCGCTGGCCCCGAGGAGCCGTGAGGCCAAGGAGTCGACTGGGCGGTGCCCGAGCTCCACTGCAGGGACAGACGCATCGGCAGCCCAAGGGCCCGTCCTGACAAGCTCCCCGCCCCACGGGGCCCCCGGGACAGCCGCTGGGACAGCCTCACGCACCTTTTGGTTGAAGGGCCACCGCAGGAGGGCGTCATTGGGGCCCTTCATCACCACAAAGAAGAGAGACAGGTGTGTCCCGCGCCCGGTGCCGTCTCCGTTCAGGTAGATGCGCAAACACATCTTGTAGCCGTACCTGCTCGTGTAGAAGGCTGCGGGGGCGGGGGGGGGAGGGTGCTGGTGAACCCACGCCGAGGGCTCCCCCAAGAAACACAAACACAGAGAGAACGCCCAGGTTTGGGGGCACATACTTTTTCTCCAAGCATGCAGACTTAGTTCCTAGTGAAGACAAGGGCCCCGAAGGAAAAATAATTCATCAGGGAAAGCCCTCCTAAGAACCCTGAGTGCAAGCCCGAAGCGGCCACACGCGAACCAGCCATGAAGCTCGGGGGTGGCTCGGGCTGTGGTCAGACCTAAGCCCGGCCTGGAGGGGCAACAGTGGGTGACGACCCGGGACAAGCTAGAGGTGACACTCTGCCAACACCCAGCAGGGTGCAGGGAGACCCGGTGAGAGCCAGGCCATGCCTAGGGGCAGACCTCCCTGCCTTCCTGCTCGAGCCCCCAGGAGCCACTGTCCCTCAGCTCCCCGGACACGGCCCTGCTCCAGCGGGGGGGCTCCAGCTGGGGCGCACGCCTGAGCCCCGGCCTGCACCCCCTTCTCAGTCAGGTTTTGTCAGAGCTAAACTCAGAACAAGTTCCCATCAGCAGGGATGCCCCCGCTCCTAGGAGAACGTACTAGCAAGGAGGCATCTGCTCGAGTCCAGGGCAGAGAGGACGGTGCCCCGAACAGACGGCTGCTCCCCACCCAGGAAGCCGGAGCGTGGGCTCCGTCCACGACCGCCCCAGGAGACACGGCAAGATCACACAGCAGCTCTGCCTACGGGCCGCACTCCCCTTCCTGCCCCGTAACCTGCAGCAGGACAGGGACCTACACCCTCTCAGCCCACGCCCTGGACGCACCATGGCAGTAGCCTCACCAAGGGCACACGCGGCACTCTCCACCAGGGGGAGGCCCGGGCAGGGGCAAGGCGGCCGCGCAGCTAGGGCCCCCCCAGGAAGGGCTGCAGGGCGACCGCGGCCAAGGCATTGCATAGGACTCTACTCCGGGTCCCCGCTTGCGGTTCCGTCCCTGAAGACCCAGCGGAGAGGCAGCGGGCGTGGGGACTCCTCCCCCGTCAGGGAGGCGTGGCAGCCGCTAGTACTGACAGGGGCTCCAGCCTGGGGGGCACGAGCATGTCAGACAACTGCAGCTCCGAGGGCACATCCCAAACAGCACCTGGGGAGAAGATGGCGGGCGTGCGGCCAGCCACGGCTTCCTGACGCTTCCTGGCGAAGTCGGAGATCTTCCAGACGAACACGCCGTCGAAGGTGGTCGCCTGCATCTCGTGGACCTTCTGCTCCAGCTCGGCCATCGCCAGGTCCTTCAGACCGATGCTCCTCTCCAACTGCTGCACCTGCGGGGCACAGGGAGCCCCGTGAGGGTGCGCGCCTCCTGGGTGCCGGTGGGAGGGGCCGTGAGCCTCCACCCAGTGCGCTTCTGAGCCACCTTGCATTTCGCAGGTGCTCATCAAAGTGCCCCCACGCCCATCTTCCCACCAGTTTCGGGCAGGACGGCATCTTCCAGTGCCCCCGAGGCTTCCCTGGGCTCCGCAGGCCTCGAGTAGGCTCCATCCCCACAAGACTCCCAACCCCACCTATGGCCGGGGTTCAAGAGCTCCGTGCAGGCCATACACTCACAGAGCCCACCTCAATCGTGAGGCCCGTCCCCCCACAGGCCAGAGAGAACAGGCTACCTCGGAGCGACCACTAGGACCCCCGCATCAGGCAGTCAGTGAGCAGGGCTCAGAAAGGGGCTCTGTGCTAGAAATCAAGGTGCCGTCCTTAAAATCCCAGCTCTGAGGCCCCGTGATGCCCTGGGACCTGTGTGCCCCAGGCCCAGACCTTGTTACTCAGGGCCTCGATCCTGTCCTGGTCCAGCCGGTGCTGCCGGCCGCAGGCCTCAGTGGTCATGGCCACCCTCTCCACCTCCCGGTTCAGGACGCAGACGATGTTCTCAAAGGTGGCCGTCTTCCTCTCCAGGGCCTCACACCGCTGCCGCAGCTCCGCGGCCTTGGAGAGCTCCAGCTCGGGGTGCAGCGTGCTGGCTTCCCAGCCCCCCACCTCGCTCTGGCCCAGGAAGGGGCCACCTGCTCCTGAGAGGTGCTTGGCCTCCAGGAGGCTGCCCAGCAGCATGGCCAAGTGCTCTCGGAGCCAATGGGCCTCGTGCTGCTGCTGCTTCTCACTCTCCACCTGCAGACAGGAGACGGGGGCTCAGCCTGACCCAGGGCCCTGCGGACCTGCTGCAAGGCGGGTCAGGGCTGTGACACCTCCCTGTCATTCACTTGCCGGCATGTCCCGTCACTACCTGGAGTCAGTATCTTCCAAACATACAAGTCTTCCTAGTGACTTCTCTGGTTGTATTTGAAATGACAGGGAAGAACATTTAAAAGTTGCCCAAGGAGGGTGGGGGAGACCACCCTCCCCTAAAGCTAACCTTCTTCAAATATTCTTTATCATACAATTCTGACTTTGTAGCCAAGTTTCTTCTAAAACTTCACAACAAATAAAAATAAGTTTTTTTAAGATTTTATTTATTTGTTTAAAAGAGAGACACGGAGAGAGGGAGGGAGGGAGGGATGGAGAGCACAGAGGCAGAGGGAGAGGGAGAAGCAGGCTCCCTGCGCAGCAGGGAGCCCGATGCGGAACGCGATCCCAGGACCCTGGGATCATGACCTGAGCCGAAGGCAGACGCTTAACCGACTGAGCCACCCAGGTGCCCCCAAATTTTAAAATGTTAC